AACAAACCAGGGCTCGTTGATCAATGAGGTGCTAAAGAACTTCACCGTCGAGATGTTCAAGGGTGAGGGCTATGATGATTGGGCCTGGAAAATGCAATTGCATTTCCATCAGATTGAATTGCTGAAACTAATGATTGGGGAGGAGCCTAGACCGAGTGACCCCGCGCTGCAGGAAGATTGGGACGAGCGTGGCTCGGCTGGCTACTACTTGATGTTGCAGAGTTTGGAGCTGAACCAGCGTCAAGTCATGCACCTGCTGCCGGAGGTTGAGTGCGGTCCGAAGGCGTGGACCGAGTTGAAAGAGCTGCACGCCCCGACCTCGGTCATGGTCGCCGATTCGTCCAACAACAACCCGAAGAACAACGGCGGTGCGGAGAAAAAGGAGGAGCGCACCGCGGGCCAGTTCTTCCATATTGGAGAGCAGGGGGAGCAAGGAGACGCCTCTGCAAAGGTTGGAGCAGAGCTGCATCCCCTGGAATATTGGGTGTTGGACACGGGCGCTGCTTGGACGATGACGCCACGCAAGGAGCTGCTTGACGACGTACGAGCTGCACCGATCAACGAGGTGTGCTCCGCCTTTGGACACGGTCTGAAGATGGCTGAAGACGTTCTCGTCGTTCCTTACCTCAAGGCCAACCTCATCTCCCTCTGTAAGATTGCCAACCTCGAGGCTAACCTCGACTCATGTCGGCGTATCCGCTGAAGCAAAAGGACCACGCCGCCTCTACGATACAGAAAGATTGGCTGCCATTCGTGGAGAAGCAAGCGGAGTGTGTAGTGAATGGATTAGGACAGACCGGGGTGGTGAGTTCCTTGGAGCTGAGATGACGGCCTGGCTCAAGAAGCAGGGCATTCAGAGGGAGCTGACCACGGCTTACACCCCACAGTCCAACGGTGTAGCAGAACGGGCGAACCGGACCATTCTGGAGACAGCTATGGCGCTGCTCATAGAATCAGGGGTGGGCAATTCCATGTGGCCCCATGCTGTCCGGCACGCTACCGTGGCTAGGAACAGGGTGCTTACTAAGGTTGGTGATGACTCGAGGGTGCCGTTGGAGAGGTGGCTTGGGAGGAAGACGCCGGTGGACATGCTGAGGATGTTCGGTTGCATGGCAGTCGCCCACGTCCCCAAGAAGTATCGAAGTAAGTTGGGGGCGAGTGCAATCTGGTGTGTGCATTCGGGACTGGCTGCTGAGAGCAAGGGGTGGTTGCTGTGGGAACCACGCAAGGATGTCTTGTTTGACAGCAGGGATGTGAAGTTTGTTGAGGGCCTAATGTATGGGGGCTGGAAGAAACAGCCAGAGGCCAGGGTGTCCCAGCAGATGGAGCAGATCACCATGCAGCTGGACCTAACTCCTAGTGTGTGGGAGGAGGGAGAGGAGGCAGCTGCAGAGGGTGGTGATGGAGAGAAGGTACAGGAAGCACCTGCTGATGGAGGAGGTGGTGTAGAGGCTAGTGGTAGCACTAGTGGAGCTGCTGGACCTGAGGGTGAGCAGCAGCAGGGCAAGGCTAAGGCTCCTAACCTACCACAAAGGAGGAAGCCGAGGGGTGTCGTTATGAAGGGGTGGGAGACCCCCATGTCTAGGCCAGGACGTACCCGTATGGCCACTATGAAGCTGACAGCAGGAGCTGATGTAGCGAAGCAGCAGCTTGGGAATGAGGAGGCATTGCTGATTCTACCGCATGGCTATGACCCGGATGAGGAGGATGAACTTGCCTATTGTTTTCTTGCCTTTGCACTAGAGGAACCAACAAGCATGGAGGAGGCATTAGCTGGACCAGAAAGGGAGAAGTGGCTAGTATCTAGGGATGCTGAGTACCAGAGCCTGCTAAAGAATGGGATCTGGGATCTGGTGGTGCTGCTAGAGGGGAAGAAAGCCGTACAGTGCAAATCGGTGCTAAGGATTAAGACCGATGACAAGGGACAGGTCACCATCTACAACAGTAGGCTGGTGGCTAAGGGGTTTATGCAGAAGGAGAAGCAAGACGTCAATGAGATCTTTGCTCCCACTGCCAAACCCCCTACCCTCCGTGTCTTCTAGGCAGATGCAGCCGTTAGTGGAAAATTCATAATTCAGATCGATATATCAACGGCATTCTTCAATGGGATTTTAGAGGATGATGTGTACATGATGTTGGGTGCAAATTCACATTGCACGATATCCTGCCGTCTGTTTGTACGAGTATGTGTGTGCGAATGCATTTGGGTGTGAATGGAATGTTACTGTGTTTGTTTGCTTTCGCAATTTTCGCTTGATGCATTTGCAGGTATTCGCGCAATGTGCGCTTCAGCACAAAATTGTACGCGCTATGAACAATGCAAGCAGAAAGGACGAGCTCGCAAAGGAACCCAAGATGGAAGCTTTGCAGTTCGGTTGAATTGATTGCGCAGATTTAGTTATATCCAACTCGAAATTGTACTGTTTTGTTTGGTTGACTATAGTGTAGCAGGGCAGGCACTATAGGGGTACAATTTAGGTGAAGGTTGAATGTTGTTTGTCTGTATCTGCATGCTACAGGGCCAGAGTAAACTAGCGGAACTAGCATTTGGCTGGTTGGGCAAAGACAAAACAGGTTCTGTTTTTAGGACCTGAACCTGGTTGTTGTTTTCCCAGGTTGGAAAAACAGAACCAGAGGTTTTTTATCAACCTACCACCTGTTATTTTGTCCAGTCAGGTTGATTGTTCCCAGGTTGATTCCCAAGGTCCTTGCTAGCTAGAACTATATATCCCTTCTCTGTTTGTACCTGAATATATTCAATTTGATTCAAGCGAATTCCTTCCTTGCTGGAATTTCATTTCTACGCGGTGCGACAGCAGAATGCTACCGAGTCAACGCTAGTACGCTAGCACTACGACGCTAGGCAAACGCTGTCCGAGCCATAACTCTGCAATGGCAGAACTTTTCGCGAGGCAACTTGGCTCTTTGAAAGCTCTTAGAGTGAGCTTCGATCTAGCAAGTTCTCAGCTTAATCCAATCGACAGTCTGCACGGCACGCTGCGCGAGGTTCAAGGTACTCTTGCTGTTTTGACTAAGTCCCTCTTGATCCCTCTCTCTACAAACTCGGACCCGATGATAGGGGCTGGTCTTGTACCAAGCACCCAGGGACCCTTGGAGGTGACCCCGAGGAGAGGTTTTAAGTTGGATAACGTCTTAATAGCCTGAGTTTATTAGGCCCGTTACACTAACAAGCTGGTATCAGAGTTGCGTTATAGTGATCCTCGTTATAGGTAGCTATGGCGGGAAATACCTCGGCGGGAGCTGGTGAATCTTCAGCCCAAGATCATAGCGGCAACCAGGATTCTGGTGTTTCGGCGACAAGGGGAGCGCGAACAAACTAGGGCTCGCTGATCAAGGAGGTGCTGAAAGACTTTAACGTCGAGAAGTTTAATGGTGGGGGCTATGATGATTGGGCCTGGAAAATGCAACTTTATTTTCGTCAGATTGGTTTGTTGAATCTAATGATTGGGGAGGAGCCTAGACCGAGTGACCCCGCGCTGCAGGAAGATTGGGACGAGCACGCCACGCCTCGGATTGACGTCGCAGAGTTTGGAGCTGAACCAGCGTCACCACGTCATGCACCTGTTGCCGGAGGTTGATTGCGGTCCAAAGGCGTGGACCGTGTTGAAGGAGCTGCACGCCCCGACCTCCGTTGTCGCAACGTTGATGCTGGAGAGGAAGCTGTCCGCATTGTGCTTGAGCGAGGGAGAACCGGTGCAACCTGTTTTGGACAAATGCGCGACCTCTACGCGAAGTTGGCGACCGCGGGAATCACCTACCCGGAGCAGACCAAGTGCTTGAAAATACTCTCGCTGCTGCCTGAATCATGGCTTCAATTCACGAGCGGATTGAGCGTGCCGCAGAACCAGAGCTTGTGGACGCTCGAGTGGGTGCGGACGAAGATTCTGGAGGAGGACTTCCGTCGCCGCCAACTGAGGGGTGGAGACGACGGCAGCAGCGGCTACGGGATGCAATGGAGCCGAGGTGGCAGAGGACATGGCTTCAGTGGTGCTGGACGCGGTGCAAAGAAGGACGACGACTCCAACGACCAACAAGGAGGTACTGGTTGGGGTCGCGGTGCGAAATCTGGACGTCGGGGCAAGTCGGGTGCTGGTGGCAAAATGAAAGGGAGTTGCTGGTATTGTGAGAAGGAGGGGCACCCCTGGTTTTTGTGTTATAAGAAACCCGATGGATGGACCCCCCAGAATCGTCACCAGGATGGCGGCGCGCGGAGGAACCAGAAAAACGGCGCGAACATGGTCGCCGATTCGTCCGACAAGAACCCGAAGAGCAACGGCGGTGCACAAAAGAAGGAGCGCACCGCGGGCCAGTTCTTCCATATTGGAGAGCAGGGGGAGCAAGGAGACGCCTCTGCAAAGGTTGGAGGAGAGCTGCATCCCCTGGACTATTGGGTGTTGGACATAGGCGCTGCTTGGATGATGACACCGCGCAAGGAGCTGCTTGACGACATACGAGCTGCACTGATCAATGAGGTGTGCTTTGCCTCTTGACACGCGCTGAAGGTGGCTGGTGCGGGACGAGCTGCATTCAAGGGAGCGGATGGCAAGCCGGTGGTGCTGCATGATGTTTGTCGCGATATATATTTATATATATTTATAACTGCCTGTAGCTTTAGCTCAAGTGTAGTTATGTTTCCTTGTTGGTGGTGCACCTTTGCTAGTTTGCTATATGTACCTTGTGTGCTATAGTGAACAATACACACTCACTTTCTCTTGGCCCCGATTCTCTCGACACCCGCTTGGCCTAGGCTACTAAGCCTAGGCCCTAAACCCGGTTCCTAGTTAACTTAGTATTGTAACATGGTAACAGAGTGGTCCGTCCTAGGACCTATTTCGTTTATGGGCCCACCACATTTCGCGACTGCTACAGTTAGTGGCGCGAAATCCGCACCTTGCGTATCTTTTTTTTTTCCCTGCTGCTCGCGCTGCCCCCCATCGCCTGCCTCGTCGCGGCTCTCAGCGCGACGGGCGCGGCAGACGCTATGGCGAACGCCAGCGGACCCGCCGCCAGCGACCCGCCAGCGAAGTCGCCAGCGAAGTCGCCAGCGGCCCGCGATCGCGTTTGCGCCATCGACTGCAGCCAGCGCCACCTTGCACCTCGCCCGTCGCACCGGCGGTCGCTGTGGGGGGGAGAGGGAAGAAGGGATGGGAGTGGCGGCGGAACTCTGTGGGGGCGAGAGGGAAGAGGGGATAGGAGTGACGGGGGAACGCCAGCGACGATCGCCAGAGCACTGGCGATCGCCCCAGCCGCTCATTCGCCCGCTCTGCCCGTCGCATTCCCCCCGCCCCCTGCCCGTCACCCCCCCCCCCCCCCCCCGTCGCGATTGTTTGCGTGTGCAGCGGCGGTCGCCATGGGGAGGAGAGGGAGGAGGGGAAGGGAGTGGCGGTGGGACGCTGTGGAAAGGAGAGGGAGGAGGGGAAGGGATTGGCGGCGGAACGCTGCGGGTGGGAGAGGGAAAGGGGGAAGGGAGTGGCGGCGGAATGCTGTGGGGGAGAGAGGACAAGGGGGAAGGGAGTGGCGGCGGAACAGCACCAGGCACCAGCACCAGCGCCAGCCACCAGCACCAGGAACCAGCACCAGCACCGAAGCCAGTCACCAGCACCAGCACCGGCACCAGCGCCGTTACGCCAGCGCCAGCCACCAGGACCAGCGCCAGCCGTCAGGCACCAGCACCAGCGCCAGCCGCCAGCACCAGGCACCAGCACCAGCGCCAACACCAGGCACCAGCACCAGCGCCAGCCGCCAGCACCAGGCACCAGCACCAGCGCCAGCCGCCAGCACCAGGCACCAGCACCAGTGCCAGCCGCCAGCACCAGGCACCAGGCACCAGCACCAGCGCCAGCCGCCAGCACCAGGCACCAGCGCCAGCGCCAGCCGCCAGCACCAGGCACCAGCACCAGCGCCAGCCACCAGCACCAGGCACCAGCACCAGGCACCAGCACCAGCGCCAGCCGCCAGCACCAGGCACCAGCACCAGCGCCAGCCGCCAGCACCAGGCACCTGTGACCAGCAGCCCTACCTGTGACCAGCAGCCCCACCTGTGACCAGCAGCCCCACCTGTGACCAGCAGCCCCACCTGTGACCAGCAGCCCCACCTGTGACCAGCAGCCCCACCTGTGACCAGCAGCCCCACCTGTGACCAGCAGCCCCACCCGTGACCAGCAACCCCACCTGTGACCAGCAGCCCCACCTGTGACCGCCCCACCTGTGACCAGCAGCCCCACCTGTGACCAGCAGCCCCACCTGTGACCAGCAGCCCCACCTGTGACCAGCAGCCCCACATGTGACCAGCAGCCCCACCTGTGACCAGCAGCCCCACCTGTGACCAGCAGCCCCACCCAGCCCCACCCGTGACCAGCAGCTCCACCTGTGACCAGCAGCCCCACCTGTGACCAGCAGCCCCACCTGTGAAGAACTGGACAGGGACCATCGTGGGTGGGGAGGGGTCTGGAGGAAGAACAGGAGGGAGGGAGTGCGGTTCCAGGGGACGGTTGAAATGGGGGGTGAGGTTACAGGGGGTTGGTTGATTGAGGGTGGGGATGTGGGGGTTAGTAAGAGGGGACGCTGCGGCCACCCCCCCACCTCCACTCCTCATCCCCCACTCAACCTCCCCTGTGTAAAAGGGGGTTAGTAAGAGGGGATGCCGCGGCCACCCCCCCACCTCCTCTCCTCATCCCTCACTCACCTCCTCCTTTGTTCTTATCTCCTCTCCTCCCCTGTCTCTCTCTCGCCTCCTCCTCCTCACCTCTCTACCGTCTTTCTCAACGCCTGCAATACCCTTTCAGGGGGTGTGACTTACTCTAGCTATGTGCTGCAGGCAGTTAAGGGGGTGTGTCGCGATATATATTTATATATATTTATAACTGCCTGTAGCTTTAGCTCAAGTGTAGTTATGTTTCCTTGTTGGTGGTGCACCTTTGCTAGTTTGCTATATGTACCTTGTGTGCTATAGTGAACAATACACACTCACTTTCTCTTGGCCCCGATTCTCTCGACACCCGCTTGGCCTAGGCTACTAAGCCTAGGCCCTAAACCCGGTTCCTAGTTAACTTAGTATTGTAACAATGTTCTCCTTGTTCCTGATCTCAAGGCCAACCTCATCTCCCTCCGTAAGCTTGCCAAGGCTGGGGTGAGCACTAGCATGGATGGGGCACGCACGTACAAGGGGCAGCTGGGAAATCGGGTGCTTTGGGATCTGCACGAGAGCAAGGATGTGTACAGATCCATGTGCCAGCTGCCTGCGTTGGCATGGCACGGTGGGGGGCAGGCAGGAGAGGGGTCCGCATCCCAGGGGGAGTGCAACCCCGTTGGAGGGCTTGGTGTGAAGATGTCGGCCAGATCTGGGGAGACGGATTGGGCAATGGCACACCGACGCTTGGGGCATATGGCAATGCCCTTGTTGAAGCAACTAGAGAAGGATGGAGCCGTGAAGGGTTTGAAGCTGAACGGACAGCCACCCGATGACAACTGTGAAATCTGTTTGCTCTCAAAATTCACTCGTTTCCCCTTTCATAGCGAGACTGGCAGGAGCAAGAAGCCTTTGGAGCTGGTTCACATGGACTTGGTGGGGCCGCTGCCGGTGTAAGGGCAGAAGGGGGAGCGCTATTTCCTAATCATTGTGGATGATTGGAGCAGATTCCTGTGGGTGTATCCGCTGAAGCAAAAGGACCACGCCGCCTCTACGATACAGGAAGATTGGCTGCCATTCGTGGAGAAGCAAGCGGAGTGAGTAGTGAATGGATTAGGACAGACCGGGGTGGTGAGTTCCTTGGAGCTGAGATGACGGCCTGGCTCAAGAAGCAGGGCATTCAGAGGGAGCTGACCACGGCTTACACTCCGCAGTCCAACGGTGTAGCAGAACGGGCGAACCGGACCATTCTGGAGACAGCTAGGGCGCTGCTCATAGAATCAGGGGTGGGTAATTCCATGTGGCCCCATGCTGTCCGGCACGCTACCGTGGCTAGGAACAGGGTGCTCACTAAGGTTGGTAATGAATCGTGGGTGCCACTGGAGAGGTGGCTTGGGAAGATGCCGCCGGTGGACATGCTGAGGGTGTTCGGTTGCATGGCAGTCGCCCACGTCCCCAAGAAGTATCGAAGTAAGTTGGGGGCGAGTGCAATCTGGTGTGTGCATTTGGGGCTGGCTGCTGAGAGCAAGGGAGGGCTGCTGTGGGAACCATCCAAGGGTGTGTTGTTTGACAGCAGGCATATGAAGTTTGTTGAGGGCATGATGTATGGGGGCTGGAAGAAACAGCCGGAGACTAAGGTGTCCCAGCAGATGGAGCAGATCACCATGCAGCTGGACCTGACTCCTAGTGTGTGGGAGGAGGGAGAGGAGGCAGCTGCAGAGGGTGGTGATGGAGAGAAGGTGCAGGAGGCACCTGCTGGTGGAGGAGATGATGTGGAGACTAGTGGTAGCACCAAGGAAGCTGCTGGATCGTAGGGAGGAGAACAGCTGCAGGGAAAAACTAAGTTTCTTGCGGTACCATCAAGGAGGAAGCCGAAGGGTGTTGTTATGAGGGGATGGGAGACACCCGTCTCCAGGCCAGGACGTATCTGTATGGCCACTATGAAGCTGACTGCAGGAGCTGATGTAGCAGAGCAGCAGCTTGGGAATGAGGAGGCATTGCTGATTCTACCGCATGGCTATGACCCGGATGAGGAGGATGAACCTGCCTACTGTTTTCATGCCCCTGCACCAGAGGAACCAGCAAGCATGGAGGAGGCATTAGCTGGACCAGATAGGGGGAAGTGGCTGGTTTCTAGAGATGCTGAGTACCAAAGCTTGCTAGAGAATGGGACATGGGATTTGGTGGTGCTGCCTGAGTGGAAGAAAGCCGTACAGTGCAAGTGGGTGCTAAGGATCAAGACCGATGACAAGGGACAGGTCACCATCTACAAGAGTAGGCTGGTGGCTAAGGGGTTTATGCAGAAGGAGAAGCAGGACTTCAATGAGATCTTTGCTCCCACTGCCAAACCCCCTACCCTCCTGTCTTGTTGGCAGATGCAGCCGTTTGTGGGAACTTCATCATTCAGATGGATATATCAATGGCATTCCTCAATGGGATTTTAGAGGAGGATGTGTACATGACGCAGCCACCTGGGTATGAGGATGGTACGGGCAGGGTGTGCAAGCTAAAAAAGTCCATCTACGACTTGAAGCAGGCGCCACGCTGTTGGTACCGGAAGTTGGCAGCTGTTTTAGAGGAGATGGGATTCAGGACTAGCAGCTGTGATGAGAGCCTCTTTCTGGTGCTGTTTCTGGTCTACGTGGACGACATTCTTCTCTTCGGCAGCAGTATGAAGGAGATCCAGAAAGTGCAGCAGCAGCTGATGAAGAACTTCAAGTGCAAGACCCTTGGGGAGGTAAAGTACTACCTCGGGATGCACGTGGAGAGGGATCTGGATCACAGGTGGTTGAAGCTGCACCAGGAGAACTTCATCAAGGAGCTGGGGGAGAAGTATAGGATTGAGAATGAGCGCAAGGTTGCAACTCCCCTGCCAGCAGAATTCAAGCTTGTGAAGGCAGCAGAGGATGAGGGGGTTGAAGCCGAGGAGCAGCAGCAATTTCAGTCCTTGGTGGGCAGCCTCTTGTATTCAGCGGTTCATACGAGGCCCGACATCTCTTTCTCGGTTGGGCAGCTGGCTAGGGTGGTGCAGATTCCATCAGAGGAGCAGGTGGATGCAGCTGAGCGTGTGAAGAAGTACCTGAACTCTCACCCAAGCATTGGAGTTCAATACTCTGCATCTGCACAGGTGAAGCAGAAAGGGGTTGAGGTGCTGAAAGAGAAAGGGGAGCGGCTTGAAGAAGGCAAGCTGTTTCTCACTTGCTTTACCGATGCTACGTGGGCTTCTGAGAAGGAGGATTCCTCATCTGTGGGAGGATACATCTGCGTAGTTGGGGGAGGACCTGTTACTTGGAGGTCCAAGAAGCAGACGGAGACGGCACTCTCCTCTGTGGAATCAGAGTACATGGCAATGTTCCATGGGGTGAAGGAGGTGATTTGGCTGAGGAGGCTGTTAGAGGAGATTGGCCAAGAGCAGAAGGTTGCTACGCCGCTGTTTTGTGATAGCAAGGGGGCTCTTGGGATGGCCAGGAACGCTGTGCTTCATGGGCTGAACAAGCACATGCGTATCAAGTGACACTGGCTGCATAAGGAGGTGAAGAGGGGGACGGTGAATCCGATCTACATCAAGACTCACCAGCAGCCAGCGGACTTCCTCACCAAGAGGCTTGCGGATGAGCCTCATTGGCGTTGTGTGCGCATGAGTGGAATGAGCATGAACTAGCATGGAATGATGTGGAATGCAACCGGCAGGCTGAGGGGGAATTGTGTTGGGTGCAAATTCACATTGCACGACATTCTGCCGTCTGTTTGTACGAGTATGCGTGTGCGAATGCATTTGGGTGTGAATGGAATGTTCGTGTGTTTGTTTGCTTTCGCAATTTTCGCTTGATGCATTTGCAGGTACTCGCGCAATGTGCGCTTCGGCACAACATTGTACGCGCTATTAACACTGCAAGCAGAAAGGACGAGCTCGCAAAGGAACCCAAGATGGAAGCTTTGCAGTTTGGTTGAATTGATTGCGCAGATTCAGATCTATGCAACTCGAAATTGTACTGTTTTGTTTGGTTGACTATAGTGTAGCAGGGCAGGCACTATAGGGGTACAATTTAGGTGAAGGTTGGATGTTGTTTGTCTCTATCTGCATGCTACAGGGCCAGGGGAAACCAGCGGAACCAGCATTTGGCTGGTTGGGCAAAGACAAAACAGGTTCTGTTTTTAGGACCTGAACCTCGTTGTTGTTTTCCCAGGTTGGAAAAACAGAACCAGAGGTTGTTTTCCAACCTACCACCTGCTGTTCTGTCTAGCCAGGTTGGTTCTGTTGCTTGGAATTATTTGGGATCATCCTTGGTTGTTCCCAGGTTGATTCCCTAGGTCCTTGCTAGCTAGAACTATATATCCCTTCTCTGTTTGTACCTGAATATATTCAATTTGATTCAAGCGAATTCCTTCCTTGCTGGAATTTCATTTCTACGCGGTGCGACGGCAGAATGCTACCGAGTCAACGCTAGTGCGCTAGCACTACGACGCTAGGCAAACGCTGTCCGAGCCATAACTCTGCAATGGCAGAACTTTTCGCGAGGCAACTTGGCTCTTTTGAAAGCTCTTAGAGTGAGCTTCGATATAGCGAGTTCTCAGCTTAATCCGATCGACGGTCTGCACGGCACGCTGCGCGACGTTCAAGGTACTCTTGCTGTTTTGACTAAGTCCCTCTTGATCCATCTCTCTACAAACTCAGACCCGAGGATAGGGGCTGGTCTTGTGCCAGGCACCCAGGGACCTTTGGAGGTGAACCCGAGGAGAAGTTTTAAGTTGGATAACATCTTAATAGCCTGAGCTGATTAGGCCCTTACACTGACAGACGA